GCAGGTGCGTATATGTTTCGCGGCAAGTCAGCTCGCTCTTGTCCAGTAACCATTCTGAGTGGAGGTAGGGCGTATTGTTGAACGGGATTGAACTTTTATTAAATGAAAGGAAGCTTTTTTCAGGCTCTTGGCAGTTAACGAAATGTCATCTAAGAGCAGATGCCCTCCTCCTCATTTAGATTCCTACTCCTGCATCGGGAGTTAGAATAGTTGTCCGCCCCTTTCTTTATTACTTGAAAGGTAGTCTTATTGGGGCATTTCGGGATTTCATCCTTCTTGTCGGCTACCCCCTCAACGTTTTGAGTAGGCGTTTGGGACTGGGGATTCTACTGAAGAAAGGGAAAGAATAACGATTTTGACTCCAGCTTTAGTCCCTAGATCGAGGAGCTGATCGATGTACACGACGCAGAAAAGGAAGAGTGAGGATTACTCTAATAGACAGGCTGCAGAACAGAAAGCGCTACATCTTTAAGCAGTGCTCTAGCCTTGAGGATCTTCACTACAATAAAAGCTGTTTAAGCCACGGTAAATACATGCACTTGAGCCTATTGTAATGTAAAGGCGCGTTAGCCCAGTCCCGAAAAGGGCTTTCGTCACGAACTAGCAATTCCCGGTAAGCAAGGTGCGAAGCGCATAGCTAGTTTGGCTTGACCGATCAGATAGACGAGGTTTGCCTCAGACAAGACCCTTTGGGTACTCTGGTAAACTATCATAGCGCACTACTTCTAGAAGAATCGGCTAAGACAGCATTAGATACTTGGCTACAATAGAAAAAAGGAAGAAGGAGAAACTTAGCCCCTCGAAGAACAAGCTCTTCCGCACCGAACTCTGGAAAGGTGCAGCTGTGATGGCTAGGAAGATTTCTACCAACTTTTCATACGGAGCTGCCGAAAGAGAACCCTTCTTTTGCTCTCCTTCTTCCAAGGCTGCTCGTCCCTTCGAACCTTGCTTTCATAAGTCAAAGTACCTGTCTTAGGACCAACTTCCAACGAGTTAGTGCTTTCCGGAAATGGCCTCTGATACGCTGGGCGGTTCACCGTCTGAGGATTCATCCCGAAGTGTACTCTAAGAACATGAGCGACGTCTTCAGGGTCAACCCTATACGGTGGGTTGTCGTGTATAGTGATGGGATCATGGCCTTGTCCTCCCAGGCGTTCTTCCCTCAAATAACCTGGCGGGGGCTCCGTTCTTGTTCCTAGTGGAACACTATTGGGGTAAGTAAGAGGCGACTTCCCCCTATCCACCCTGCTCGGAACCGTGACACTTGGGATCGTGCTCTCAATATAAGATGGCCCTGCGAAATTCGCCTGAAGCCGGGATGGAGATAGTACTGAGGGTGTGGGGCCCGTTTGAAGCGTGACCCTTGAAAAAGCTTGATCTATCATGTTTTGCATCAGATTTTGTTGATCACGCAGCATTGCTTGCATGGTGGCGGTCTGTTGGTTGTTCAATTGCTGAACATAGGCCGCCCATTCGGTGGGTACTTGAGTTGTACCTCCTACAGGCGGGATTGCGGGCGGTATGGACGCCGTGCTTCCCGCAGATGTACTGGAAGGTTGAGACTGAGAACCAGTCATGTGGCTATGACTTCTTTCGACAATTCGACCAGATCGGAGTCGAATAAAATTGTCTTGAGATGTGTAATTGGCAATCTTGCGAATTCTCCCACTGTGGTCGCCAATTTGTTGGCTATAGAATCCTAACAAAACAAAGTCAAATCCAAACCAAGAAATGCTTCGAATTTGATGGGTTGGCCTGAGATTACATATGAATCCCTAAGCACTGACATTACCTAAAGAGAAACCCGCACTTTATTTTCGGAAAATGAGCCTAACATTTCAAGATTCTATTCTCATAGATAGAGAGAAAAAAGGAAATCACTTCATTTTAAGCACGAATAAGTCTTTATTTTTATAAAAGCATAAGTAGTAAACATTTTTGACTAGGGTTCCCATACATGCAAACATACAAAATAACACCAAACAAAGATAGTTAGCATAAATAGGACTCCAGTAAGCATCGGAGTAGATCTCTACTAAACAAAGCCAAAGAAAGTCATGCATTAAAACACACTACTTTGCGTCTACTTAAACCTTTTGATACTAAAAAAAAGAAAAAGAGTCGACGGACTCTTCTAGTCTCCCCGGTGCCCGTGGGTGACAGCCTGCACTATGAGTGCTTGCTGCTCCGCCCGCAGCGCTTGCTGCCTCCCCTCCAAATCCTCGATACGCTCTCTGGCAGCGCGAATGCGCGCTCCTTTCCTGGCAGGATCCAGTGTTCTAACACTCCTCAAAAAGAGGTTTAGCACTCTACGGCGCTCTTCCATCTCATTTTGCAGTTGCCCCATTTCGGCAGCAATTGCATAAAGCCTGTTTGCAGCATCCATAGCCATACGTGCAAGTAATCAATTTATTTGATTTTCATTTGATGAAGTGAAGACACTTATCGAGCCTCCATTTATAGAGTGGTAGAGGAGTCTCGCCATGCAGTACGAATTGCATGGCGGACCCAATTCTGACTACTATAACCACGCTGCCTGTATGAACAAACAAACTTTGCAGAACCGTTTCACCTAATCGATCGTGGTGAAGTCAGCAATGGATTCGGCGGATCATCCACGTCACGAATTGGATGGCAGGCCCAATTCTGACTAGTTCTCCGCACTACTTTTCTGCAGTGAAAATACTCTTATGCCTATTTAGTGAAAAACTGGCTGGCTCTGGCTACCTTGCGGAGCAAACAAAAGATCCCCAAATCACACTGCCTATATG